CGAGGTGGCTTCTGGAGGCGGCCGGAGCCAGCGGGCCTGCGGCCTTCACCTGGGCTGCGGGCGATGCAGGGGGAAACGTCCTGGGTGGACACCGTGCCGTAGGTGGAGAGGCAATCACTTCCAACGAGAAAGGTAATGAAGCCTTCGGCCATTCCAGAAATTGGGCATGGAGCCGTCATAGACCACCTTCTCCATGGGGGCAGAGGCGCAGCGGGATGCTGCGCCGGCCGCAGCGCACGCGGAGTGGTAAGTGAGGCACCGAGAGGCACCTTCTCCCTGCCCCAAGGGAGGTGACAAGGAGGTGGTGGCTGGCTGCAGCCCCGGCCGAGCACTGGTGAGGAGGGTCCAGCTGATGGGTTGTGTATGTGCCTTGATTGGCATAGGAATGCCACCCCACCTTTCAGGCAGTGAACTGTCTCATGAAGAAGTCTACCAGGCAAAGGAAGAACCTCAGGGGCACCCTGCAGCCTGCTGGCAAACCCTGCCGAGCCTGCAGCCCCAAACACGCACCAGCAGCATGGGAGCATGAAGAAGGCAGAGAAACCTCTTTGTGAAGAGGCACTGTGTGCTCGGGCAGGAAAGGTTCAAAGGGCAAAGGATGGGCAGCGGCAGACCCGTTCTTGCAGTGAGCGGTTCTGTGAGCTGTGCCGCACAAACCACTTGCCATGTGGAGGCCTCTGCGGTCACCCGCGCACGTGGCAACTCTAATTTCTTCCCCTTTTCTCCTTCCAGTTGATGGCACTTTGGCTCTTGAGCTGGAGGGACTTGCAACATCATGGAAAATCAGTTCACTACTAAGAACGGCAGATATAAGCCATGTACAAATACGCGCAGAGACATTTTAAACATATTTGGCAGCTTTCACACTTACATCACCCTATCTACCTTCAAGTACCACCAACAGGGACACGCATTCCAAAAGGCTGTATCAACACCTGTGTCAATGCTCTCGACTGTAGCTGACCGATAATGGTATTATTACTTTTGTACTTAAATTAAGACATCTTAAAACATGTAACCTGATAACTCCCTCTCTAGGACAGTCACAAAGATCATATGCTGCCAGTGCTTATTTAACGTAGATTCAGTAATTCCTGTATGTGGCAAAATACTGTAACACCATAAGAAATCCATGTCAGATATACTGTCACAGCTGTGATTGATGGTGACACTGGTGCTCGTGTTTTCTTGGATTTTCCATATAAACTGCATGTTTTACACTCCTCTGGTCTCAAAATTTGGTGAACTGGGGAACAGGCCCTTCCGTGTTGTCTTCTGGGATTCTTACAGGTAATCTTTTTTTGTCATAAGTAGTTCTATTATTTCTACAGTTTTTGAAGTGATAAAGCAAATATATTCCTGTAGGTGATTTTTTCTAAGCCTGTAGGCACTTCTTGTGTTAATCCAATCAACCTGAATCACACGCTTAATAGGTTTTCACAAATGTTTTATTTCCAGGCAATCTAATATTTCATAATCATGACTTTCAGTAACTTTTCATTGCTGAGATGACACAAGTTTTCTTTGGAGGGTTAATTTGTGCAGCTATATTAATAGTTTAGTGCCCTCACCAGCCATTCTGGGGAAATGCTGAATCACATGTATAGCGCAGCAGGTGGGATCCATCCAGTCCTATCTAGACGTCTATCATGTAGAAGTCTACATCTAATATAGGCTCCCTTCATACATAAAGAAGAATTAAGTATCTTTAGAGCATGAGTCATGTCATCCTAAAGTAGATGCCTAGAATAGGTCAGATGATTTGTGCCCTAAAATTGCTCCTATTTCTCTGCATTAAAGAACAAGTAGGTTAGATCTCGATGCCTCCACTGTAGCAGCCTTAAGTGAGGTGAGATGAGTTAATACTCTGATCGTATCTGGGTTTATATCATGCTTCAAAGTACCCTAAAAATTCTCAGTTGTAAAGAAAACTGAAAATAGCATTGCTTTCTATATTATTCTCAATTTATTAAAAAAGCAGCTTTTAAAAGTTTGCTGACTCAAGGCATTTTAGTAAAAATGGCAAATGCCCTGTATTTCACGGAAAAGTTGTAGCACCTTTTTTTTTTTTTTTTTTTTTTTTTTAATAGTCTAAGTCTGCCAGTTCTCTGTCTGCAGGGTTGGGAAATAAACAAGTTAGATACGTTGTAGGTCCAGAAGAGGATCCTGTACTTTTGGTGAAATTATGCAATCTGGCGGAATGAAAAAACCCAAACATTTTCTCATGGCAGGCTGATTTATTTTTCTAAATGACACTCAAAAATTGATAACGAGAAAAGTTCATGTAAAGCTGAACTGGTTGGCAGAGTATAGGTGAAAGAGTTTTTTTTTTTAAAAAAAAAACAAACTCATGATGTCTAAAACTTGCCAGCGGTGTCACATTAGTGTGGTACGTGTAAGGAGAACATGTGCCAGGAACTCCTCAAGAAATGCAGGATCCTTCTGACCAGCTCTGCTCGCAGGAGTTAAAATCCTGCATAAAGCTGATGAGTAAGCTCTTGATGACTCACTGTGGCAGATGCAGTCTTTAATTCCAGGAGGGTATAAGGGAAGTGGGTGTGAATCTCGAGTAGAGGGGAGCTCGGGGCAGGGATGTTCCTGCCTCAGTGTCTTGGGGATAAAAGTGTAGGTTTTTAATACAGCCCCAGCTATCAGCAAAGCCAAACTTCTCTAAGGGGTAAGTTTGACATTACACATCACAGATAGATTTTATGTGAAACAGGGTTGGAACACCACCTACTCACAGATGGGTATAATTTTGGGGATGTCCTGCATAATTCATGTGTGGCTTTGATACTTATAAGTAATTCAGACATCAAAGCCTCAACTTAGATAACACTTTTATAACACTAAACTTCCTATAGCCAATAATCTGTGGGCTTTCATTTAAGTTCCTTTTAAAAAAAAAAAAAAAAGCAACGATACGAATACTTTCTTTGTTACCTTCAGACATTTTTCATAGGGTATGCTGGTGTGAAGTACAAGATAGAAGATACTGAGGCATGGACTAGAGAAAAAAAAATAATAAAATTCCATATAATACTCTTCAGTGGGATTAGAAATGTAGATTTTAAAGCACTGGGAAGGAGCTGGGAGCCTCTTTTGCAGTTGTTTCTAGACTAAGAGTGCAGCAGATACCAGGCCCTTCAGTCACTCCGCAATGCTCCCTCTGCTTTGCCAGTGGCACAAACCTTCACTTTTCAGCAGTCCAATTTCCTAACAAGCAATTTTATGTTCTCTTCCAAGTTATCCATTACGCATGGAAAAACCTTCCCATTAATAACCATAAAGCTCCTTTATTGTTCTCCTTCAAATCTCCTTAAAACTTCCTTCTGACACCAAACACTTGTCATTGGCCAGGCCTGTTGCTTTTTATTCTCAAGGCTGCTTTTCCCTTATCCTTCCCCCATGGGTCTGTAGTATACACCTGTTGTCTTTCATCATGGGTTAAGATCATAAGCTCTTTGGGCATAGACCATCTCTCTTATTACATGTGTCTACAGTATCCGACACAATGGGACTGTGAGCCCTCAATGGGGCCTCTGGGTACTGCCGTGATCCAGTTGATAAAGAATAATGATTTTTGACATGGTGAGTTCTGCAGTTTTTCCCAAGTCATTCTGCAGTTGTTCGCGCTGATACAACCAGTGTGTGTTTGTGAGCAGTGCCCTTAAACCCGATATATAGGGTAAATGCTATGGAATTATTTTCCGGAGAGCGCTGACTTTCCTGCTTTGGTGTTGGGGGGGCTCTGCTCTTGCACATCGAAATGCGTGGACTGACATGCAGCAACTGTTCCTTTTTGTGGGTTTGTACAGAACTAGCGCGACGGGACCCTGCTCTGAAGCTTCTGCATCCTGTCCTTCAAATAGTGATAACACCCGATGGAGTCAAATGAAAGGGAGGTGGCTCCTGCGCCACTGGTGTGGAGTGTGTCAGTTCCCTAAAGGCCCGTGGGGATTCAGGACATGGTCATTCCCTGCTGCAGTTTCCCCGCTAGACATGGAAACTAGAAGTCTCTTTCTCTTCTCTCAAATGTTAAGTCACAGTGGCAAGTGGGGGGATGCAGCAAGGCTGCACCAGTCAGAGCTGGGCTGCTGGCTTTTGTGGTGGCAAAGGTGAGGAGGGCCACCCCCTCCACCGCATGTCCACCGGGCAGGAGGACATGCAGAGTCGATTATTTTTAATTAACCCCCTTGCAAAATTCTCCTTCTCCGAGCTCTGTTTCCAGCCTCCATCAGCGACCTTCCTGGGCCCTGCCACCTCAGCGATGCACATCATCATTCACACCATGCAATCTCTCCCCCCAGTCCCCAAGATATGTTTCTTCTCCTTTTCTCTCTGCCTCTCTCTCTTTCTCCCCATCACCCCCGAAAGAGCCTGTCTTCAGGTTTTGCACTTTATTCAAGGGACTGCCAGAGCCGTCCTCTGCCTCATGCAAACCTCCGCATTGTGCCCGGTCCTCCAGCTTTGCTCAAGCGACCCTTCTGCAACAGCAGGAGACCCTTCTGTCCCTTTCCTCATTAATGCAGCTGTATCGGAGCCCCGCAAAACCCACAATAACATCAATCCTCGGCATCATAAGGAGAAACAGAAATCCTCTCCCCCCTCACCGGGTCTCTTCTGGCGGGTTTAAATAACTTTTTTGGGGGGGAAGGGGAAAGGAGAACACGTAATTAGCACCGGCCCCCGAACCTCCCCCCCCCACCATGCCACCTCCTG